TGTTTTCAGAGGGCAGAGTTCTCAACCTACTTGAATGGACTCTTTTCTATGTGCGTGTGACCATGTTCCAATAAAACCAGATTCACCAAAACGTGTCAGGCTGGTGTAGCCAAGGACCACTGTGTGCGGACTTCTGGTCCAGACGCTCATCCGAACAGAGCAGCTCCCCGTGCCAGGGAGGCAGCCAGTGAATAGCCTGGCACGTAGCGGCCCCGCGGGCAGGAAGCGCTGGGCCTCCTGGGGCCCGGAGGAGGGGCATGACTGGGCTGGTTGTGCAGGTGGGCGGGGGACCTTCTTCAGAGACAAGGGGGGTAGAGGCCTCTTTGACAGTAAGGCCGCACCCCACTTCTGGGCCCCCCTAGACTAGCCAGGAATTAGAGGAGGGGTCCAGAGGTGAGAAGGGGGAGCCATGGCCTGGAATCGGGGTGCCAGGTGGGTAGCGTCTCATCCGACCTTGGTGGATGGCCTGGCTGCCTCCTGGGCAAGGATTTCTGAGCTCCTGTCTCCAAACACCCCATGTTTGGGAAACAAAATGAGATGCGTGCCTCTCAGCACTGAGCCCCTGCTCCCACCCAGGGATGCTGCAGTCAGCGCCCTCAGCCCCCTGGGGCCCACGGTGCCACCCATCCCTGCCCCGTGTGCCCAGGAGGCCCAGCCGGGGCACCCAGACCCAGCCTCCCCAGCAGGCTCCTGGGGAGGGGAGGGGTCCTGGGCAGGGCAGGGATGCCTGAGGAGTGAGGGGGGAGCTGGGCCTGCTGCCACTCATGCCCATCCCTGGCCCTCCCCGCCCTGCCTCGCCATTGGACTTGGCAGGTTTGCACAGGCCTCGGGCAAAGCCCTTTGGGCCTGGAGACAGACTTGTTACGCCTCTGGAGAAATGAGCCTGGATTTCTGCTGCTGACTTCTCTTTTAATTAGATTCCAACAGCAGCACGCAGGGCTGACTGGCTGCAAAGTCAGGGGCAGCTTTCCGTGGGCCCAGGTCTCTCTGCGCTTGCAGTGCTATCTGGCTTTTTCGGAGTCAGGAAATGTTTCTGACCTCCCTTCAGGAGCCAGGCAGGAGTCTTGCAGCACATGTGTGAGCAGGCACCCACCTTTCTGTTGGTGTCTGTCTGTTTGTACATCCGTGTGTAAGTGTGTGCGTGCCGGCTTTTGGAAAAGTCTGCAGACAAGCCTGCTGGGGGCCCTTCCGTCCAGCTGCCCTGTCCATTCATCCACCTGCTGCCGTAGGTGGCGCTGTGGGTCTGGCCGCAGGGTCTCATCTGCGATGGGGCCGCGGGTGCCTCGGCTGGCGGAGGGGGCGTCCTGTTGGAGCCCTGTGCTCCGCCCGCGTCTGGGCCTTCAGGAGAGGTGAGTGTGGGCTGCTGCAGGAAGATACCCCCCGCCCCCAAGAGGGGCTCTTTCTTTGAAGAAGAGCTCCTCTGGAGAAAGGAGCTTCTGGCCAGCGCTGCCGGGGCTGAGTGAGAGGCCAGGGACACGACGTTCCCCTCCTTGCCCTGCACCGCCTGGACGGAGCTGGCTGTTTGGAGGCTGTGGGGGGCTGGGCCTCCCCCTCCATCCCAGGGTCTCTCTGGCTGAGCCTCTAGCCCCGGGGCCTTCTCTGGGGTGGGGGAGGGGTGCTGAGGGAGGAGGAATAGAAAAGCACCCCCGCGGAAGGCCCTAGTCTGAGCCCCCAGTCTGAAAAGGAGGGAGGCGCTCGCTGGCCTCGGAGCGTGGCTGGCCTGACAGCAGACCCCCTCCTCACCCCCGGGACCCCCCGCTCTGATGGACGTGACAGGTTTCCGCTCAGAGGAGCTGTAGCTTCTGGCCTCAGGGACGCCGTCAGGACCCTGCCCACTGAAAGCCGCCTGGCCCTCCTCTCCTGCTGGGGGTCCTCTGGGACCCTGGACTTTGCTGTGACCCCGGCCTGCCGGGCCACCCCACCTGGCCCGCAGAGCCCCGCCGCCGGGGCCGGGCTCGGAAGACGCCGTCTCGTTGGTCCTCTCACAGTCCTGCCCGCCGGGCCCAGTGTCCTGAGCTCCCCGGCTCGGCTCCCCCGAGGCTCCCTGGCGGAGACCCCCTGCCCCAGCTTCTTTATCGCAGTGGGAAAGCTCTGGTGATCCGAGCCGGGACGGACTTGGGGCTGAGCCAGGGTTAGGGTGATGGCGGCAAGAGAAATAGAGTGCCTTTACTGCCATTTCTCACTTGCTGAGCCCGTGCGAGGCCCAGAATTCCTGCCTGCTGCCACATAGCTCTCAAACGAGCGTCTTTCCGAGGTAAACCTGACGTGGTCACTTAGCAGGCCCGGACCCCTCCCTCACTTAAATAAAGCCTAACTCTTCAGCAGGATCCTCAGGGCTGCCTGGCGTGACCGGCCCTGACTGCCTCTCCCACCTGTCTTGCCACAGCGCTCCCAGCAGACCCACTGACGGCGAGTCCATTCCTGCCCCAGGGCTTTTGCACTTGCTGCCTCCTTTGCCCAGCGTGTTCCCCTCCCACCCCGTGCCCCAGAGCTCACTCCTTTACGTTTGACAAATGCTACTTCCTAGAGAGATTTTCCCTGGCCACCCAGTCTTAGTGGGCTCCCAGTACTTTTTCTGTGCAGTGGTTATCCCTATTGGGAGTAATCTTTATTTGTCTTAACTGTGTCGGCTCCTTGGTTACCTTGTTCACCATATATTCCCAGCATCTAGACCCATGCCAGGCATATCCTAGGGTCTCAAGAACTTCTGTTGGATGAAGGAGGCTGTGTTAAGAACTGGGTTTGTGCTAAACCCTCCCTCACCCAGAAGTCCCCATAACCCTTATGACAATCTCCACCTACAAATGGGGAGATGGAGGCCCCAGCTGGGGAAGTTACTGAGGAAATGAGATTTAACAGCAGGGCTGATCCCACGCCCACGTTCTAGCCAACATCTCCTGGAGTCGTGGGCTTCCACCCAAGATCTGTTCTTTATAGAAAAAAATGGAAAAAACAGAAAGGAGGAAAGTCACCATGTTCTGCCCTGGAATAATCCTCACTCTGCAGGCTTCACCACCCCCTCCCCTCCCCTCCCCCTCTCCTCCCCTGGTTTTGCAGATGGCCTTTTTTGTTTCTTTCTGTAATCACTGCTATGACAGTCACATTTTTCTGTGTTTATCACTCAGTCTCTGTAAATGATAACATGATATTGAGTATATGGACAGTCCACTGAGTGAATTCGCCAGGGTTACCTGACTGTCCCCAGCAGTCAGGCATCTGTCTAGTCTGCTGTGCTGGGGGTTGCTGATGATTAGGTAACAACTCAGTATCGTAGCTGGATTTCAAGCATCCATCCATTTGCTCTTTGATCAAATTTTGCCGTGTGCTGAGCTCTCTGCCGGGCACACCGAAGGGCCTGAGGCGCAGTGTCTGTCCTTGGAGTCCATGGACCAGGGTGGGAGAGAGTCAAGCGTGGCCAGAGTGGAATAGATGTCGCCAGGGTGGAAGATGGCGGGCAGAAGGCCAGTGCAAGGGTGCCCGGGGTGGGCCTCGTGGAGTCTTCAGGTGCTGAAAAGCTGTTCCCAGGAGGACAGTGGGTGATGCCCATTGCAGGTGGGCCATCGAGAGAGCAGTGACGTGCATCTGAGCATCGTTTGGGCCCGGGCTTTGGTTGGACAGGGAAGGCGGGGTTGGGGCAGAGATGGGCCTGAAACGCTGAGCTGAGGAACTTGGACTTCCTCCTAAAGTAGATGGGAAGCTGGGTGTTTATCTCCTTGCTCTGTAAGAGTTATTTTTTTAAGATCAAAATTTTATATACACCTGTAAAAAAAAATCAAACAGCATGGAAAAATTTATCTGGAAAGACCCTCCCCCGCCATCTCCCCGTCTCCTGTCCTTTCTGAAATGTCCTATCCCGTCTCCTACTTTCTGAAATACTCTCACCTGTCCTGTTTTTAAGCCATCGGGTACTTCCCTTGTGACTCTTGATTGTCTGCGCCGCTGTGTCTGGGTTTGTCAAGGTTTGGACACACGGCGTGTCTCCCTGCAGTGACGACGAGGCTCAGGCTCGCGCTGCCCGCCTGCCTCCAGCAGTTCTGTTCCGCTGCTGCCTCTGTCGCTGCTCAGTCGCTCGGTCGTGTCTGACTCTGCGACTCCGTGGAGAGCAGCACGCCAGGCCTCCCTGTTCTTCACCCGCTCCCGGAGCTTGCTCACACTCATGTGCACTGAGTCGGTGATGCCATCCGACTATCTCGTCCTCTGCCAGCCACTTCTCCTCCTGCCTTCAATCTTTCCCAGCATCAGGGTCTTTTCTAGTGAGTCGGCTCTTTGCATCAGGTGGCCAGAGTATTGGAGTTTCAGCTTTAGTCCGTCTAATGAATACTGAGGGTTGGTTTCCTTCAGGATGGACTGGTTTGATCTCCTTGCTGTCCAAGGGGCTCGCGAGCGTCTTCTCCAGCAGCACAGTGGAAGCATCAGTTCTTCTTTCTGTGGCTTCGTGCCTTTAGATAGCGTGCACAAGCTGCCACTCCCTCTTCCGTGGACTCGCCGCCCTGTCCTCCCCTTGCGCCAGGGTAGAGCCTGGTGTGCGCTTGTGTTTCCCGTCTCTCCTTCAGGGCTATCCCGTGGGTAGCTGGAGCTGGGCTACCTTAGAAGTATTGACACCCCAGGAACCAGCAGACACAGCACACCAGGATCCCCCGCCAGTTGTTAAGCGTTTGCCAGCACACCGGTGTGGGGCTCCTGAGTCCCCTCCCTCTGACCTGAGTTCAGGGTGGGGTGAACTTGGCCCGGGGCTCCCGAGTCCCCTCCCTCTGACCCGGGTTCGGGGTGGGGTGAGCTTGGCCCGGGGCTTCTGAGTTCCCTCCCTCTGACCCGAGTTGAGGATTGGGTGAGCTTGGCCCGGGGCTCCCGAGTCCCCTCCCTCTGACCCGGGTTCGGGGTGGGGTGAGCTTCCCAGGGGCTCCTGAGTCCCCTCCTCTGACCCGGGTTTGGGGTGGGGTGGGCTTCCCAGGGGCTCGGCCGGCCAGCCCGTCACAGACAGCCCCTCTTGTGTGCTGCAGCAAAGCTTCGAGGCGCACCAGGACGAAGCTGTGAGCGTGACCCACATGGTGAAGGCGGGCAGCGGCGTCTGGATGGCCTTCTCCTCCGGCTCCTCCATCCGCCTCTTCCACACCGAGACGCTCGAGCACCTGCAGGAGATCAACATCGCCACCAGGACCACCTTCCTGCTGCCAGGTGAGACCCTGCTGTCCTGGGCGGGGGGCTGTGCCGGGGGAGCGGACACTGGGGAGGCGGCTTCCAAGCCGGGCCAGGTTATCTCATGAACCCTCAAGGCAGCCTTTGGTCAGCCTTGAGAACCGGGCCTCCCCGGGGAAGCAGCTGACTGAGGGTTCCAACCCAGGCCTGCCCTCTGGAAGCCCTTCTGGCCGTCCCTGCGGCACAGCAGGCCAGCGCCCCTGCGGAGGCAGGCTCCAGGCTCGGGGACTCCCGCGAGCCAGGTTGCTAACACACCACGTTGGGCAGGCGGCCGGGCCCACCTATACCTGCCGCTCAAGCCCAATTCTGCCTCAACTCCCCTTCAAAATGAGCAAAGGGAAAGAGAAGGCCAAATACGGATCTCTTTCCTTGGAGGTCTCTAGAGAAAGGCAGGGGTCCCTCTGAGTGTGCCATCAAGGTCCGGGTCAGGGGAGGCGAAGGCCCTGATGTCCTCCGCTTGGGGCCGGTGCTTCGTCCTGCAGGGCTGTTTGTGGGACCCACGGAGATGGTTACAATCTAGGCGCACCCTGCACCTTGCCCCCTGCCCAGAGGCTGCCGAGGAATTGGCCGCAGGCCTCGCCCTTAGCGCCGATCCCTGTGAGCTGTGCTGGGAGCCAGGACAGATGCGTGCTCAGGGCCCACCGCTGCCCCCAGCCGGCTTGAGAGCAGCCCTCAGGGCCAGCGGGCCTCCGTGTGATTTGCCCCCAAGTTTCCACCAGATAGACTGACCCGGAGCTGGTCTCGGAGGATGCCGGCTGGGCTGGGGGCAGCGGGGGGGAAGGACCCCAGGGCCAGGGAAACAGCAGGTGTGGCAGGCTGGCCCGGAGCTGATGGTGACAGGGACTCGGCAGACGCCCACCGCAGAGGCTGGGAGTGGCCTTCGCTGAGCCGGGGGCCAGGATTCCTGCTTGGTGAAGCTGGGCAGAGGGCAGTGACTCCAGCCAGCACCGCAGAGGCCACAGAGGCCTCTGTTCCACCCCAGAGGCCTAGTCCCTGATGCCACATGGGGGCCCAGCAGTCGGCCTGGCTCCTGCGTCCCCAGCCAGTCTCACCGCCCAGTCCTCGAGTCCCGGCTGGTGGCCGCAGCAGGGGATGGTGGCTAACTGGTGCACAGTGGCTGCCTTCCGCCAGGGCCCTGCAGCGAGCTGGGCGCCAAGGGCTTTACGTAATCGGGCCTCACTGTCCCCATTTTACAGATGCAGAAACTGGGGTTTGTTCGGCAGGGTAAAGTGGCTATCCCTTGGTCGCATGGCCAGAGACAGGACCGGGAGTCACATCGGGTTGGACTCAGTTCAGAGCCTTGCTGCGTGTAACGGGGAGGAGATGGCTTCAGAGGTGACCAGGGTCCCGGCTCGGCCACTGTGGGCTCACAGAAGGTCCTTCTGCCTTGCGGAGCCTCTGGTCCCTCTGTGGTGTGGGCAGTGCTTTCTGGCTCCAGGTAGATTCTGTCAGGAAGATGCCTTGTTTAGGCCTGGGTCATCCGTGAGGAAGACAGACGCCTTTCTAACTTGCCCCCAGGGTGTGGGGTAAGGGCTTGGGGGACGTTTGTCGTCGGCCCTCCCTCCCTCCCTTCTTTCCCTTTTTTATTTTTTAGCTTCAGTTTCATTGTCTCTCAAAGTGTTTAGTCATTATGTGAGGTAAATCTATTTTAATTACAGTAAAAATTTCTCAGTATCACAGAAATATTTCCACATCTGTGCTGATAGCTAAATTATTTCAAGTTAGTGGAACAGTGGGAAAAAATGGATAATCTTAAGGGCCTTTTTCATCGTCTCAGTAAAGTCGGGGGGGGTGGTGGAGCAACGTAGAGAAAGTGTCAGGTGTGTCCAGCGGCCGGGGGCGGCTCTGGGGGCTGACCTGCTGCTGGCGGAAATCCCGTGGCTCCTGCTGCAGGCTGTCACCTCCCCGTGGGTTTAAAATGCGTCTTCAAGTCCAGTGATTGGCTTGTTCTTAGCAGTTAGTTACCCTTAAAAAAGAACTTTCCTGGTGGCTCAGACTGTAAAAACTGTGCCTGCAATGCAGGAGACCCGGTTTCGATCCCGAGGTCGGGAAGATCCCTTGGAGAAGGGAGTGGCAGCCTACTCCAGTACTCTTGCCTGGGAAATCCCATGGACAGAAAAGCCTGACAGGCTACACAGTCCATGGGGTCGCAAAGAGGCGGACACGGCTGAGCGACTAACACGCTCTCAAGACACTTAAAGAAGAAAAGGTGATCGCTACCATGAGCATGCCTGCAGAATAGGTACACGGAGTCCCCGGAGGTCAAATGACCAGCCTCAGGTCACTGCTGCGGGGCCCAGAGCCAGGACCTGGGTCACAGCCGTCTCATGGGCTAACCGGGCACCTCCCACTTCTCCAGCTTCTGTTTCCTCGTCTGTACGACGAGGGCCTGAGATGGGAGCTGAGCTCATGGGGCCAGTGGGAGCCCAGAGTCAGACAGGCCCCGCCAGAATCCTGGCTCTGCCAGCTTCCAGCTGCGTGACCAGGCGCTCCAGCCCCGCCTCTGAGGGCAGGCGCGGGTCTTCACCTGAGAGGTGAGGACAGCGTCCCAGGGTCCCCACTCCAGGGTCCCCAGGAGTTACAGCCCCAGGCCCTGTGGGCCAGGAGGCTCCAAGCCCAGGAGGAGCTAGCCCTGGGTGGAGGGGGCCTTCAAATCCACGCCACACTGTGTCCTGGCGGAAGAACAGAGCAGGATTCTTAAATTCTTTATTAGAGATATTTTTAAAAGGCTTTTAGGTATTTTTCCTTCCCCCACACCACCAAATGAAATAATTGCGTAATTACTAATGAATTTGTTCCTCCTCTAAGTGTGGATTTTTTTGAGGGCGTGTTAAAAATTCATCGCGCTTCCTTCCCAGGACCCCTCTCCTCCACTCGCCTCCCCGATTGGTATTAATGCAGTTTTGAACCTAAACTCCCTCCTCCTCTTAACTAGACAGGTCATTAATAAAATGTTCTCCGAGAGCCTGAGCTTTTTAAAGTTGTATATCTCCGGATAGATGGCTTGGGTGAGTTGAGCACTGCCGCATTAAGTCTCTGTGATAAAATATTTATCCACCATTAGACTTTTTTTTCCCCCTTTTGGACTGTTTGTGAAGTGCCTCGCTCTTTTCCTCGAGGCAAAGCAGGAGGAGGAAGGGCCCGGAACGAGGCCTGCAGATGAAGTCATTTCTCCGTTCCGGCGCCTCTTGCGGCTTCTCCCCGCCTTCCTCTCATTTGCCGGGTTTCTGTGGTCCGAGGGGCTCAGGGCAGGGAAGGGCATCAGGAAGTGGTCTCTTGCTGGGCGTAAGGTCCCCGGGGCCCTGGAAAAGGAGGGGAGGCGTGTAGGATGGAGACATCTGCCACCGCTCCTTCTCTCGGCTTTGATTATTTTCATGGATTTCTGGCTCTGATGGAGCTGATCTTAAAGCATTTGAGTCTAGGTCCTTTTAATAATCACATTTTCCTAATAGCCTCCACTTATTGATTGTATATTATGGGCTAAGAGCTGTGCGGAACTGTGTGTATATATATCATAGTGTGTGGGTATATATGTGTATATTTATGTACACAAAGTGTGTATTATATACATAGATAAAATTTCTAATAATCATAAAATTGAGCAGGGGATGTTTGTTGACGATGGTAGAAAGTGGCTTATCGATTCACGCAGCTGCTAAGTGACGTCAGCGCCCACATCCTTGTTCGCTTCTCTGCTTTCGTTCATTCATCCTCTCATTTAATCACAGGTCCTTTTAAAAAGCATTTATTGAGGTGTAGTTGATTTACACTATCACAGAAGTTGCAGGTGCGAAACGTGGCGATTCACACTTTCGAAAGGTCGCACGCCTTCAACAGTTACTGTGAAACATTGGCTCTATTCCGTGTGCCATGCAGTGTATCCTTGCAGTGTATTTACGTTATTCCCCGTGGTTTGTACCTTCTAACCCCCCACCTCTCTCCTGCCCCTCCCGCCTTCGCTGTCCGCACTGGAAGCCACTAGTCTGCTCCCTGGATCTGAGTTTGCAGATCCTCTTCACATGTCTGCCAGGAGCCAGGCCGTTTGATCAACGAGCTGGGGAGTCAGTTTCGACACACAGATAGGCTGCTGCCCTCAGGAAGCTTACATCTGGGGAGGCAAACGGTAAATGAGCCGAGAGCACAGAGTAATTACGGAGCTTGAGCAGAGCCGCGAGGAGAAGACGGGACGGGCGCGCGGCCCGAGCCTCCTGCACTTCCCGAGTCCCGGGGGCTGCGGCACCTGCTCTCAGACCATCCCAGGAGCCAGCCCTGGTGGTGGGGGGGCCTACACTCTCCGAATTGGTGCGGGAGTGGGGAAGAGTCCCAGCTCCCCCAACCCAGACGCTGTCTGTGAAATAGCCCGACATGCCGGCTTCTTTCCCCCACTCTGGTTTGCATTTGCCCATGGAATCAACACTATGAATGTGACCTGTGGAATCTGCATCCTGTCGCCGGACTCATATATCCCACTGCCTGCTGACAGCTCCACTTGGGTGTCTAATGTGCGTCTCAGATGACGTCGAGTCCGGAGCTTGGACGTCCCGCTGGCCTGCTCCTCTCCCATCATGGTCTGTCTGCAGCGCTGCCTTTGCACCCAGCTGCTGGACACGAAAGACCTGGGAGCTGCCCTTCCTTCCTTCTTCCCCTCCCCTCCCCGCCGTCTGTCAGCTGGCCTGTCTGCAACGTGTCGGTTCAGCATCTCCTTGTCACCAGCACACCTCAGACGCCATCATCCCTGCCTCGCCCGTCTCCTCGCTGCACCCCGCCCCATCCTCCGTCACGCGGCACCCAAAAGGCCTCTCTAAAATCACGGTGCGCTGCTCCCTGCTCAGACCCGCCGGCCGCGCCTCGTCGTGCTGAGTGAACAGTCCCTGCCCTCACCTTGGCCCGGCCGCCCTCCGACCCTCCCTCGGTCACCTCGGGGTGCCTGGTCCCCCCGCCGCGCTGGCTCCGCCCTCCGCAGAGCCGCCGGCTCATTCCCATCACCCGGCCTTTGCCCGTGCTGTCTCCAGAGCTCCCCTTGGGTCTTGGCGTGGCTGCCTCCCCTTGTCATCAGATCTGGTCTCCTGTCTCCTGCCCCCCCATCCTCCCGGAGGCAGAGTGAGGCACGAAACCCGAGCCTCCTCCCACCTACTGTCTGCCTCGCCCCCCCTTGGAGTCCTCTGCTGATGTCTGCGCTCCTTGTGTTTCCACTTCCTCCTTCCCTCCCAGGGCTCCATTAATACGTGTGTGTGTGTGTGTGTGTGTGTGTGTGTGTGAATGTGAGTCGCTCAGTCATGTCTGACTCTGAGACCCCATGGACTGGAGCCCACAGCCTGCTCTGGTCCATGGGATTCTCCAGACAAGAATACTGGAGCGGGGAGCCATTCCCTTCTCCGGGGGAGGTCTTGACCCAGGGATCGAATCCAGGTCTTCTGCACTGCAGGCAGACTCTTTACTGCCTAAGCCACCACGGAAGCCCCCGCTAATACGGTCGCTTCAATTACAGTTGAAGTGAAATTACAGACTCAGTCTGTCTGCCACTAGCCATGTTTCAAGTGTGCGTACCCGCATGTGACTGATGGTCAGCAAACTGGGCAGAGAACATGTTCATTGTCATAGAAAGTTCCAGAATGTTTGCTCCGCAGGGGCAGCACTGTGTGGGGATCCCCCTCTGCCTCCAGCACAGGTGCAGTGTCCCCCACAGGAGGTCCCGGGCTGTGCCGGGGCGCTGAGTGCGTCAGGTGATGCTGTGAACCCCGTTAGTAAACCCTCCTTCCGGGCTGGCCGTGGAGCCGCACCAGCCCGCTCTGGGACGCTGCTCTGCAGAGGAAGCCCATACACGTGCAGGTGCCGAACTCAAGCAACTTGTTCAAGAGTAGAGAGGCTGGGACTTCCCTGGAGGTCAAAAGGTTAAGACTCCGAGCTTCCAGTGCAGAGGCTGCAGGTTCAGTCCCTGGTCAGGGAACCGAGGCCCCACTTGCCATGAGGCAAGGCCAAAGAAAGAGCAGAGAGGCAGTGTGAAAGCATCAGGCTGTAAAAGTGACGGACTCGAGCTCTTCTCCTCTCCCGCCACCCCTGCCCTGCCCGGCCCCGCACTCACCAGCTGGGTGACCTCTTTGGACCTTAACATCCTCGTCTGGGAATTGGGCACAGCATCCAGGTTGTGCTCACCTCTCAGCTGTTGCAAGGCTTGTATTGGGCTGGGGCAGGTATGTGAAGTGCTTTGGAAGCTGCAAGGCAGTATTTCTCACAGAGTGGCCCCGGGGCCAGCAGCCTGGGTGTCCCTGGGAACCTGTGGGAAATGCAGGCTCCCCTCTAGGGCTGGCCCGCGGGTGTCGGCTCTCCTGCTGGTGCTGACGCAAGCCCAGCTTGAGAACCCCCTACTCCAAGCATCACTTCACATGTCGTGGTGTGACTTGGGATTTGAGGAGAGACTAGGTCTGCCAGTGGGCAGAAGGATCCAGGCTGGAGGTGAGACGGCCCTTTGGGATGGCAGGCCTGGGCCCCCAGCGCCTCCCTCACAACCCGGACTTGTCAGCAATAGAGCAGCAGTGATGGTGGCTGGCACCCACCCGTGTGTGCCCTGTGACAGGCTCTGGGTTACGTGATCCGCAGCCACTGGCTCATTTCACTGGCTGTGAAATGTCATCACTGTCGCCCTGTGCAGTGAGGGAACCCGGGCACAGAGGGGTCTTGTTTCCAGCCCTGGGACGTGGAGCCAGGAAGTAGCCAAGCTGGGGTTTGGACCCGGAGCCTGCGCCTGGCGCCCTGCTCTTGGCCGGGGCTGTGTGGCCCACACTGCGCCTCCCCCGGGAAGGGTACAGGGACCCACCTTCCCCCGTCACTGCTCCCCCTCAAAGGCAGAGCCAGCCCAGCGGGTGACTGGACAAGAAGTGGTCTGCAAGTCTGGACTGGCGTCAGAAACACGCTAGCTCCCGGCGCTGGGAGCCCATTCACCACGGGGCCGGGGACTGCAGCTGGGCCCCCGCCGGAGGAGGGCCTGTGCGGGCAGCATGTCAAGCCCCGGCTGGAACCCACAGGGCCGCAGCTCGCTCAGACCCCTCCCCACACGTCCCTTCTGCACTGTCTGCTTTATCCTCAGCCCACACCTCCGCAGGCCTCTCTCTCGTCCCCAGCTGGCCGGTTATGTCCCTGGCATGGCGGGCCTCAGCCTGCACCTCATGCCAGGAGAGCTGGCTGCTGCATCGAGAGCCGACGTGGGCCAGCACTGTGGCGGTCCCTCATTGTATCCTCGAGGCAGCCCCGCTTTACACAGGAGGAAACCGAGGCTGGGGGGGTGGGGTGCTCAGCTGGGAGACCCAGGGCCAGATGTCAGCCAGGTCAGCCTCCCAAGCCCCACTCCTCAACCCCAAGGCTGTCCAGCTTCTTGCTTGTCCCAGGAGAGCCGCCCGAGGAGCCATTCCCTCAGCTTTGGGGCCCCCAGGCACCGCCATCCCCCGAAAGACGCTGCAGCTCATGCTGGCTTCTCCCGCTGCAGGCCAGAAGCAGCTGTGTGTCACCAGCCTCCTGATCTGCCAGGGTCTGCTCTGGGTGGGCACCGACCAGGGGGTCGTCGTGCTGTTGCCGGTTCCTCGGCTGGAAGGCATCCCTAAGATCACAGGTGAGACCGGGGTCAGCTGCACGTGGCCAGGGCCTGCTGGGTCTTGGGCCCAGGTGTGGGCACTCTCTTCTCATCTGGGGACAGGGGTCCGTTCCCCAGTGTCCGCTCTCACTGTTGGTGGCTCGGTGGAATTAAATCACCTGGGCCCTGCAGTCTCCTTGCAGGTCTTCTTTCTGAGACTCAATTACCTCATCTGGCAGTGGGCATAGGAGGCACACTGGCCAGATGGTTTGCAGATTGGCCGAGACACCCAGCTAACAGGAGAGGTTCTGCCGGCCTCCTCCTGCTGTCGCCACAGTACTCCGTGTCCCGGCTCCAGAGACAGAAATAACCGAGGGCTCACGGGGACAGAGGTCCATGTGCAGCCGTGTTTGCCTGGGTTAGAGGAGGGGCCGCCCTGACGTGGTGCTGGGATCTAGGGTCAGGGAAGACCCCAGAGCTCTGGGCCCCCTCTCTGCCTCCGCCCTGAGTGGTGGATAATGAAGTGGCCTCTTCCGGCTGCTGCAGGAGGGCAGGGCTGCGTGGAGTGGGAGGGAGATGCCCCGGGGGAGACCAGCCCCAGGCAGACCGCGAGCCTCTCTGCCCAAGAAGACCCTCTTCCTAAACTGTGGGACTTACTGCTTTCCTGGTCTCATCACTAGGCCATTTCTCTCATCCCGGGATCCGTCCTGGGGTTGCGGGGATGTGTTGGGCAGAGACCCTGCCCCCACACACTGACAGCCTGGTCGGGGTGGCTTGTAGCCAGGGCAGCAAGTGCTGTGACGGCAGGCGTCCTGGGGTCAGCGGAGCACAGACAGGAGTGATCTTCTCTCATGGATGAAGGCAAGGAGGGAGCCCTGCGGAGGGGCTGAGCCAGGCCTCAAGCCCTAGCTGTCTGGGCAGAGGCGATGGCTTGGGCAAAGGCAGGGAGACGTGAGGATGGCCCAGGCAGGGAGCCGCAGGTGCTTCCACACCAAGGCTCCCCGTGTGGTTTATAGTCGCTTGTGTTCCCCTGCTCCACTCTTCCACGCACTCCTCCAGACCCGTGGCCTTCCGGGAAGCTGCCAGCATAGATCGCAGTAACCCGAATAAGCCAAAAATGAAACCCAGGAAGTTCTCCAAGAGACTCAGTTCAGTTCAGTCCAGTCGCTCAGTTGTGTCCGACTCTTTGCGACCCCATAGACTGCAGCACTCCAGGCCTCCCTGTCCATCACCAACTCCTGGAGCTTACTCAAACTCCGGTCCATTGAGTCAGTGATGCCATCCAACCATCTCATCCTCTGTCATCTCCTTCTCCACCAGACTCAATGGGTCTTTAAAACTCTGGGCCTTTGGGCCCCTTCTCTCTGCCCCCTTCCTTCAGGGAAAGGCATGGTCTCGCTCAACGGGCACTGTGGGCCCGTGGCCTTCCTGGCTGTGGCCACCAGCATCTTGGCCCCTGATATCCTGCGGAGCGACCAGGAGGAGGCCGAGGGGCAGCAGGCCGAGGAGGACAAGGTGGATGGGCCAGCTCCCGAGCCGGCGCCCGCGAGCCACGTGGGCGGGGAGCTGATCCGCAAGAAGGGCATCCTTCTGCAGTACCGCCTGCGCTCCACTTCCCACCTCCCGGGCCCGCTGCTGTCCGTACGGGAGCCGGAGCCGGCGAACGGCTCGGCCCCGGAGCACAGCGAGGAGGACGGCTCCATCTATGAGATGGTGGACGACCCTGACGTCTGGGTGCGCAACCGGCCCTGTGCCCGCGACGCCCACCGCAAGGAGATCTGCTCCGTGGCCATCATCTCCGGGGGGCGCGGCTACCGCAACTTCGGCAGCGCAGCGGGCAGCCCCGGGAAGCTGGCCCCGTGCGGGGAGACGGACAGCACCCTCCTCATCTGGCAGGCGCCCTTGATGCTGTAGCCCCGCCCAGGCCACACCGTAGCCCCGCCCAGGCCACTCTGTAGCCCCGCCCAGGCCACGTGGCGGCAGGCCTGGCTGCAGCCCGCCTGACTCTCGGCCTGCAGTGGGCCCTTCCGGCTGTTCAGGGTGCCCCAGGGAGCGATGGGTGGCCTCGCCCTCAAGGGGCCTGCACGGGGCTGCGAGGACGGGCCTGGAGCTCCACCATCCACCTGAGTGGAGCAGAGGGAAACCTTCCTTTTTAAGGAAAAAAAAAACAGTTTCAGTGTTTATTGGAGTGGTTTGGGTTTGGGGAGAGGGAGGACACCTCCTGAGGAGATGGCCTTCTTTTTAAAAGCAAAAAAAAAAAAAAAAAAAAACACGAAACCTCACAACTGCCTGGCAAGCCCAGCACCTCTTGTCGGGGCCGAGCAGGGCTCAAGGGCGGCCACACGACCCTCCTAGGAGGGTGCGTGCGTGTGAGTGTGTGAGAGCGTGTGGGCTGGTGTGTGAATATATATAAATACGTATATATGGTGTATATTATATGTGTATAAATGAAGTTTGTACATATTGGAGCTCTGGGAGATGCTGGAATAAAAGGCAAGATAACGTCAGTACTTGGGTTACAGGTTGCTTTTTAGTTTTGTTTTGTTTGAGACATGATAACCTAGACAGCATGTTAAAAAGCATAAACATCACTTTGCTGACAAAGGTCCATATAGTCAAAGCTATGTTTCTTCCAGTAGTCATACATGGATGTGAAAATTGGACCATAAAGAAGGTTGAGGGCTGATGAATTGGTGCTTTCGAACTGTGGAGTTGGAGAAGACTCTTGAGAGTTCCTTGGACTGCTAGGTGATCCAACCAGTCCATCCTAAAGTAAATCAATCCTGAATATTCATTGGAAGGTCTGGTGCTGAAGCTGAAGTTCCAGTACTTTGGTCACTTGATGCGAAGAGTCGACTCACTGGAAAAAACCCTGATGCTGGGAAAGACTGAGGGCAGGAGAAGGCGGCAACAGAGGATGAGATGGTTGGGTGGTATTGACTCAATGAACGTGAGTTTGAGCAAACTCTGGAGACAGCGAAGGACAGAGGAGCCTGGTGTGCTATGGTCCGTGGGGTCTCAAAGAATTGGGCACGATTCAGTGACTAGACAACGAAGAAAGAGAGCAGCTGTCACTGTTCCAGGTTGTTCTGGAAGCAGCAGGAAGGACTGAGGCTCGGCAGTGTGAGAACAGGCCTTAGATCTGTGGGCTGTCTGGTGCAGTCGCCGATGGCCTCATGTAGTTACTTAATTTTTTAATTAATTAAAATGAAATATTGCAGATTTTATTTTATTTTTCAGTCCTATTAGTCACATTTTTAGTGTGAGTTGAGGTGCCGCACACACGAGGTTTTATGCCGACTGCATTTGACAGCACGGATATGACTGTTTCTGTCACCCCAGAAGGTCCTCTCCTGCTAGAGAGGGGCTCTTGGGAGTTTCTTTTCTGAATGTTTCTGGAAGAAAAGCCTGGGCCCCAGTTCTGGAATGGTGTGGAGGCACAGGCCTTGGCATCTGTGGGGAAAGTCTGGGAGGAAAAAAGAAGAGGGCTTCACTGTGTGGAGGGTGGGGGTCTGGGGTCTTGCTGTGGGCAGTAGGGCTCTGCAGGGAGGGGCCTGAGACCCCTAGGATGTGAGGGAGGGTGAGGTGAGTTCCAGGGGGCGGGAGCGGAGCCCAGGCTGAGGGGGGGATTGGCAGCTGGGCCCTGGTTCAATCTCTACCCTTGGGTTTCTAGAGCCACCTGCAGAAAAAAAAAAAACAAAACAAAAAACCCAACCCACCACCCAGAAGGGTTGTGTTCTCTCCGCCTATTCGCCCATACATCTCTCTGTCGTCTGTCCACGTGTCTGTCCGCCCCCCACCCACGCTTCTGTCCTCCCCTCCATACTTAATGGTGGCAGCACTGCATGCAGGGAGGAGGGAAGCCAAGGGGGCAGGCAGACCTCCCGGGATGGGGTCGCACAGCTCGGTGGGTGTCTATGGGATGCTCCGGGAACCCAGGGCAAGAGCCGCCAAGGAGGGGACATTTCAGCCGGGTCCTGACCAGCTGGTGGGATCCCCACTGGAGGAGTCATTCCCTCATCCACTCCTTTCACACGCCCCTCGAGCCCTGTGGTTCTCAGGCCCCGTGCTGGCTGCTGGAGCCACAGAGGTGAGCTGGTCTATAGGCGTCACTGTCCCCAGGACAGGCATGCGGAAAGGGAGGGCAGGCGGGGTGCCCATGTGCCAGGGCTGAGGGAGGGCAGGGTGCAGGCAGGAGCGCGGGAGGCCCTCACATGGGAGCGGGCTGCCTGGGGACAGTTTGTTTCCTGGAGGGTGAGTGTCCAGTGTGGGTTCCGGGGAGCAGGAGGGGGAGCTGTGTCTGCAGGAACCCTGACCCTGGACGCTGACCAGCTGCATCTGGTCCAGACGTACCCACCTTCTCTGGGCCTCAGATTCCCATTTTCTATCAAAGGGAGGCTCATTCCTGTCCTGCCGGCCTCTAATGGGAGCGGAGGGGCCTTTCTGAGCACAAACGGGATAAAGAACAGGTCTTCATCTCATTGCTCAAGTTAATTGAATGCCCTGTCTGGGTGCGACTCTCAGGCGGAGCTGGACAGGACTTTTCCTGGGACAGGAACTGTAGGTAGAGTGTGCTTGGGAGGATGGACAAGCCTGCAGCCTCGGATCCGACAGGCCTGTGTTCATGTCCAGTCTGCCAAAACCCGCTGTGTGTCTTTCAGAGCATCCCTTCACCCTGGGTCTCAGTCTCCTCATCTCTAAAATGGGGATGATGAGACCTTGTAGGAGTGCCAAGGACAAGTGGCATCAGTAATACTTATTTCCAGGAAGTCCATGGAAAGCGCTGGGAAGCCCCCCCCGCCCCCCCGGCGGCTCAGTGATGATTCCTTGTGTCGTGCTACTCAGCCTTGCTCCAGACGCTTTGCGGCGGGCTGTTCATGTTAAGCAATCCCTCCTCGTGTGCAGGAGTTAGCATGTGAGAGCTCTGCGGTTCTGTTAGATCCCAGCCCCGCAGCCTGCTCAGCAGAAGGGGACCCGGGAGATGAGGTGGGGCCCATGAAATCCGTCACCGAGCAACTGACTGACTCCACTACTGTAGTGAGATTATCATATCAGTCACCAGCTTCTCTCGCAAGCCTCTGACAACAGAGCGAGGCGGGGTTGGGGGAGTCGGAAGCAGCTCCCGAGACGCCAGGAGGACGTGCCTGGCATAGGAGAGGAGACCCTCGCTTTAGATACTGATCAGAGTAATAATAAATGCAAGCGCGCGGGGTGCCCCAGCTCGTTTCATCCTCACGGCCGCGCTCTGAGTAGCTGTTCTGTTTGCCTCGTTTTGCAGGTAAGGGATCCGAGGCACCGGGAAGTTAAGCAGCTTCCCGGAAAGTGTCAAGGCCAAAGCCTGAGGTCTGTCTGCCGCCACAGCCAGGCTCTGAGCCCCCGGGCGACTCTGCCCCCAAGAGCAAAACTTGGGAGACGAAGTTCCAACTGTGCTTTCCCCGCTCACTAGCTGTGTGACGTCAGGCACGCGCCTTAACCCCTGTGTGTCCTAGCAAGGGGATGGTAAACAATCCCTGCCTTGGGAACCGAGTGCCTTCCATTCAGTGTTTATTGAAAGCTCACTCTTCCCTGACACCTCAGTTGGTAAAGAATCTGCCTGCAATGAAGGAGACCCTGATTCAATTCGTGGGTCGGGAAGATCCGCTGGAGAAGAGACAGGCTGCCCACTGCAGTATTCTTGGGCTTCCCTTGTGGCTCAGCTGGTAAAGAATCCACCTGCGATGCGGGAGAGCTGAGTTCCATCCCCGGGTTGGGAAGATCCCCTGGAGGGGGGAATGGCTACCCACTAGTCCATGGGGTTGCGACCTTCACTTCCGTGTGCCGGGGCTGACACTGGGTAGACTGGTGAACCATGCAGTGCGCACATCTGCCCCCTCCCCATTCCCTGGGGGCTGCAGACGGAACAGAAGATAACTAAGCAAAATGTGTCAGATGGTGTCCGTGCTCTGGAGAGAAATGACGTGGCGGGTTGAGGGTGGGAAGTCCTGGGGAGGGCATGGTAATCTTAAGCCGGCTGGGGAGACCTCCCTGAGCGAAGAGCCAGGAGGAGCACACACGAGGCAGCAGGACGTTCTGGGTGGAGCAAGCACCACGTGCAAAGCGCAAGGGGGCCGCTGGAGCGGAGGGCGGGGCCCGTGGGAGCTGCTCGTGCGCCACTGGGTCAGATCGTGGGGGGACCTTGCCTTTTCTTGGTGACAGGAGGAGTCATGGGAGGGTTTTGAGCAGAGAACTGATGGCCTGTCTCTGGCTTTGTAACAGTCTCCTGGTTGCTAAATGGAGGAAAATGTGTGCGGGCGGGGGTGGAAGTGTAGGGGCCAGGAGACCACCGGGGAAGCTGTTGCCACAATCTAGGTGCTGGTGGCCTGGACCACAGTGGGTGTGGCTGAGGCAAGGAGTGGTGGTCAGGGTGGATAGGTTCCGATGCTGGAGCCTCTGATGAGCAGACACAGCCCCTCGTCAGGAGGCAGCTGTGAGCTGGACCCTCTCCCAGCCGAGATTCCGTGCAGCAGCTGGTCGGGGAGCCCGGGCTGCTGGCAGACTGCTCCCCGCTGGGCACACCAGCCTGTGGTCCTTCCCCGGCTACTCCAGGACTCTCACCGCCTGGGCCATTGCAGGCCCGCAGGCTGAAACCCTCCCATGCAGTCAGCAGCTCTCTCCCGCCCTGCTGGGCGCGTCAAGGGTGCAGACCTCTGCCCTCTGCCCACGGCTCTGTCCCCCTTCACCTCCCTGGTTTTCTCCTGCATGTGCGAGGCCCAGGGCATGGATGGGGAGTGCGTTTCCCACCCCAGGAGCCCAGGCAGTGTCCATCTCAAGGCTTGTTCCCTTTGGTCGGCCCCGTTTCCGACTTGCCGATTGAAATGGGATTTCCGGCCAGGAGAGAGCAGCTCGGGGGCCCGGGGGAGCCTCTGGGCTCAGACAAGGAGCTTTGATCTCGATTAATAAAAGGAAGTGGCTCATCTCAAGTTTCCCCAGAAGCAGATCCTGAGATGAGGATTTTGATTCCCGTTGGGGATGCTGAGAGGGGACATGAGACAGGGATAGAAGTCAGAGCTGGGAGTGTTAGCTGATCAGGTGACCCGTGCTGGGGAGCTTGGGAGACATGCAGAGCTTCAGAGTTGCCCCGGCTGCGGGGTGAGGATGCCTGGCATTTATCCCCACCTCTCACCAGGAGTGTCCTGGGTGAACGCTGCTCCCAGAGCCATTTGTCCCAGCCTGCCTCACTGCTCAGCCAGAGAGAGGGTCCTGGGCTGAGCATCCCCCTTACCCCCAGGAGAGCGTGCACGGCCCGGTAGGGCTGGCTGTGGCTTTTGTAACTTTAGAATGGTTTCTTCCCCAACAGAGGCAGGCTTTCAGGAAGATAATCTTGCTATGGACACAAAAATATCTAGTTTCTGCTAGGTTTCATCCCCTCTGTCTTAGCTTAGGCTGCTAAAACAAAAGACCATCACTGGGTAGCTGAAACAGTTTCTCTGTCCTGGAGCCTGGGATGTCTCAGATCAAGGTGCTGGAG